AACCTATGTGTCATCGGAATTCCAGAAAAGGAAGAGACAAAACCACAGAGAAAATTGTTGAAGATTTGTTGGAAGAGAATTTTCCTGGTATGATGAAAGATGAGAATATATCCATTCAAGAAGTCCAACGAACCCCAAACAGGATAGACCCCAAAAGAAAATCACCAAGACATAGCATCATTAAATTTACCAAAACCAAAGACAAAGAAAGAATCATGAGAGCAGCACGGGAAAATCAAAAAGTTACCTGCAAGGGGCAACCAATAAGACTAAGCTCGGATTTCTCGACAGAAACCATGCAGGGGAGAAGACAATGGAATGGTATATATAAAACCCTGAAAGAGAAAAATTTCCAACCAAGAATTATGTACCCAGCAAAACTATCCCTCAAATATGATGGTGAAATTAGGACATTGCCAGGTAAGCAGAAATTAAGAGAATTTGTTAAAACCAGACCAACCTAACAAGAGATGCTAAAGGGAGTCCTTTGGATAAAGAAGCAACAGTAGCCAACAACAACTGACCATTAACACACATGATAACATAACCCAGAAACCAACCCAGCTATGGAAGTATCCAAAGTAAATAAGCCTACAAGATTGTAAACAGGGAACCAGAGACCTCAATTGACAAACGAGGAGAACTACAGACCAAAAAGAGGGAAAAAACTGTGTCATTACAGAACTTGTAGATGGTAGGGAAGTCAAGACAACTACAAGATAGAATGGACTGTTATAAATTTGGAAAGAAAATTATAAATCACAGGATAACCTCAAAGAAAAATGATAAACCTTCACATCAAAAAAGTGGACCAGAATATTAAGCAAATACTAAAACAATAGCAATGAAGGAAGTGATAACACGATTCAAAAACAAAACAAGCTCAGCATGGAAAATTATATGGAACAAAGAAATTGACACCACGAAAAAGCACACAACACAAATGACAGCAACAAATTCATATTTGCCAATAATTACATATCTGGCAAGGGACTTATCTCCAAGATCCATAGTGGAAGAGTAGATGACCAAACTATGGTACATACACATAATGGAATGCTATGCAGCACTAAAGAATAACGTAGAGTCTGCAAAACACCGCATACATGGATGAACTTGGAGGACATTATGCTGAGTGAAATAAGTCAATCACAGGACAAATACGGTATCAGTTCATTGTTGTGAAGAGTCAAGGAAAGGTTTATATATGGAGGGAAACTTTCTTTGTTGGTTGCCAGAGGTGGAGGGGAGGGGAGGGAACACTGCAAAAAAAAGAAAAAAATGCATTGACCCATGCCACTTTAGTTTTGTGTATTTCACTGTATATAAATTATATTTCAATAAAATGCATTTCAAAAGAAAAAAGACACAGCTGCCATCAAATCAGGTAGGACTTATGGGACCCTATGTGTGTCCAAGCAGAGCTGTGTACCATATGGTTTTCAATGGCTAAAAGCAGATCACCAGGCCTTTCTTCCTAAGTACCTCTGTGTGAACTTGAACCTTTAACCTTTTGGTTAGCAGGGGAATGTATTGAGTCTTTTCATCATTCTATGTTCCTATGTAGTTTGTTCCAGTGATATGTATGCTGTTATGCTATTGTTGTTGTTGTTATGTGATCCAACAATATGTGCCAATTGCATGCAGTTGTATACTTTACATGATTTTATATCTAGTACATCGATACCACTCACTGCCAATAGTCATCAATCTATTTTTTTTTCTTTTCAGCTATTCTCACGTTGTTTATTCTTCTAGAAAAATTTTAGAATCATTTTGTCAAATATCCCTCTTTCTCCATCTTATAAAAAAATTTTATGGAGACTTTGTAATTGTATGGAAATTATTAATTAATTTGATATGATTAAATATCTTTTATATACTTTGAAATTTTTATATATAAAATATACTTTATATATAAAGTATGTTTTATGTACTCTGATATATTTTATAGTTTCCATTATATACTCCTTTTACCTATGAATAGATGGGGATTTTTTTTCTTTTTGTAGCAGTTTTGAGTAGTTTTTCCCCCATATTTACCAACTAATTAGGGAGCCCTGGTAGCATAGTGCCTAAGGCACTTCACTGCTAACCAAAAGGCTGGTGGATCAAACCCACCAGCCACTCCCCGGAAGGAAGATGGGGCAATCTATTTCCGTACTGATACTGCCTTAGAAACCCAAGGAGGAGTTGCTATGAGTCGGGTCCAACTCAATGGCATATAACAACAACAACAAATTACTAACAAAATATAGGAGAACGTTATTTTAAATAGCAATCTCAAAATAGCTACATAAAAAATATCTTATATCTCCTCTTTCTTGAACTTTTATTATTTCTAGTTTTTCACTTGATATTCTTGACTAGAAACACAACAGAAATACTTTTTATTTGCTTCATATCTAATTACGTAGATATCTCATTACACAGACCATCAAGAATGATGCTAGTGACAGCAAGCTTCACTATTAAGTTAGGTATTGGTAACCTTTATCATGTTAGGAAGATCATCAAGAATAAGGTCAATTTTTATCAAATTCCTCATTAGCATCTATTGAGATTATCCTACATTTTTTTTTCCTTACTTTATCATCGATATAATGTATTATATAGGTTCCCAAACCTTTTACACAACACAGAACCAACATATTCTCTGATGTTACGAAAGGGTTGATCCAGAAAAGCATCTGGGCACAGAGCTTTTCAGGATGAGCTCTTTGAATAAATTTCTTCTTTGATTTGATTATTGGTCTATTCAAGTTTTCTGTCAAGACAATTTTGATCCTTGGTATTTTTTTCTCTTTTAAACTTTCATTTATTTGAAGATTTCAAATTTCCCAGCACTACATCTCATTATGGGAGTTCTGCTGGTGTAGTGCCTAAGGCGTTTGATTGCTAACCAGAAGGCTGGCGGTTCAAATTCACCAGCCACTCCTTGGAACAAAGGTTGGGCAATCTACTTCCATAGTGATACCACCCTGGAAACCCAAGGAGGGGTGGCTGAGTTGGGTCCGACTCCACAGCAGTGCGCTGCATTTGTTTACACTTTATTTTCCTGTAGGTTAATAAAAAAAGATAGCCCTTAGTTCCTAATTTCTCCATTTACATTTGTTTAAATTAGAACCAGTTCTTAGTTTTATCTACCATTCTAAGTATCTTTTGTAATAACATTTTGTTTTATCTTTGGTGTTTCTTCCCTTCTATTTTCCCCAGAATTGTGGGGTTTGTTTTTTGTTTTTATTTTTTTCACTTTCTGAGTTGGAGATCTCCCTTCTTTAATACTGAAAGTTCTCAATGATATGGATTTAGCTTTAGTTATTGCTTGTCTACTTTGATATGTGACAAATTTCATTTTCTTTATAACTCTTAAGGTTTTAATTACCATTTCCAAGGTAATCACCCCCAAAACCTTCTAGTCTCATCACTGAGCTATAAAATCCTATTAAAATACCTGAGCTTTAAAAGGCAAATCAAAATTCCTATAGCAACTCAAAATTAACATGTCTAAACTAAATACCTCACTTTTATCCCGAGCTGCAGTTCTTCCTATCTGTTTTCTTCTATAGCATCACTCCAGGTAAACAAACAAGAATCTGGGATTTATTCCTGATGCTCCCTTCTTCGTATTCTCCGTATCACAATCAATGACAAGGTCTCACTAATTCTACCTCCTCTTTTCTGTTGTTATTAGGTACCAGTGAGTCAGTTTTAACTCATGGTGACCATGTGTACAACAGAATGAAAAAATTGCCCAGTCCTGCACCATCCTCACAATCATTGCTAGGCTTGAGCCCACTGCTGCAGCCATTGTGGCAATCCACCTTGTTGAGGGTCTTCCCCTTTTTCGCTGACCCTCTAATTTACCAAGCATGATATCCTTCTCCAGGAAACAGTCCCTCCTGATAACATGTCCAAAGTATAAGAAATGACGTCTGGCCATTCTCCATTCTAAGAAGCATTCTGGCTGTATTTCTTCTTCTTCTCCATCCCTACAAATAACACTTTTTTTCAGGTCCCCTTATCACCACAGGCTTCTAACCCAAAGAAACCAACAGCTCACATTTTACTGGTGTAAGTGTTGATTCAGGGAGGTTTGAAATATAAAGCATTTTAAAACATTTTAAGGAAAGATATAGTCTGAAACATTTTATTTCTTCCAGGACAAAATCAATAAATGAAAAATATTTAGAACGTTAGATAAAATGTGTCTTTTCTATGAGGTATCGTACAAGAGCTTTAAGTAAATGCTTACCTTTTATTGTTTTTCACATTAAGCCCCACTGTGTAATCTTCATTTAAATATGTATATTCAGAGATACCAAAGTGTTCTAATTTAGGAGTCATGCACTCAAAATCATCCATCTTTAGTGCACACTTTGGAGTTTTTAGAACTTTAGTTGGTGACTGTTTGGTAGGTGGAGTTAAAATTGCTGGCTCTTCCTTATGGTCATTTACTTCCTGGGGATGAGTTGGCAGAACTTGGGATATCATGTACCGCTCAAGTCCAAAATCTGAAAGCTGTGGACTACGTGGAGGCATCTCAGAAACAGAACTACTTAAAACAGTAAGATCAGATAGATCAACCTTCCCATCAGGCTTTTGAAGGTCTTCACAGTGAGCCAATTCTGGTTTAGAGTTAATGAGTTCATGCTCATCCACTAAGAGGAAAAAGAATCAAAGAGCAAAGATTATAGTAAAACACCAAAACACATGTACTTAAATCTACTAACACCACAAAAAGTAGGTCCGTTTGAAATTTCCCAAATCAATAAAAGTCCTGATTCTCTCCTTAGTTCTAAATATTTTATTCTAATTTCCCATTAGGTAAATTTCCGACACATACACATACACTCTTGGCCACTCATACACCCATGTTGGTAATACACTGCAGCAAAGAAAACAAAACAAAAAAAGTGTGAAAAGATGAAAAATGAGTATCCTCAAAAAGAGTCCAATTTCCTTACTTCTTCAGAGTTAATGTAATTAACAGTCTTTCTTAATGTCACATGGATGACATTTATTACAGTGTGGAGTTCACTGTGTTCTACATTTAATACAAAATATAATCACCTTATTTTAGATTTTTATCTTTCAGATGATTACATTAGAAAGGAAAAATGGCTCTGCAAAGATAACTTTTTATCCTAAGTTCAGTCTGGAACAGTCTCTATCAAAAGCCTAATTGAGAAAAATAGTGGGAGCACATTTCAGAGACAAGTAGTTTCTTAGTCATTAATAGGTTTTATATTTTGATTTCATGATTGTTGGCCCTTAGAAGAGCTATTGATTCACTGGTTGTATTTTGCATTGTGCTTTCTATTAATACTGAGGATGTTAGAAAAGCTACCAAAATCCTAGTGTTGTATTTATCACAAGACTGTCATTGATGAGATTAATAAAATAAAATCATCACCATTATCCTGCCCTTTACGGGGAAAAAAAAAAAAAAAAACACTGGCATCAAACTGACTCTGACTCACAGAGATCCTGTGTGACAGAGTAGAACTGATCCATAGAGTTTTCTTGGCTGGAATCTTTATGGAAGTAGATTGCCAGGCCTTTCTTCCACAGTATTGCTCCATGGGTTCAAACTACCAACCTTTAGGTTAGCTTAGTAGTCAAATGCAAACCACTGTTGCCACTTGGGGATCTTCACTACCCTACTGTTCTTGCAGTGTGCCGTCAAGTTGATTCTGACTCATTGCAGCCCTACAAGACAGAGTAGAACTGCCCCATAGGGTTTCCCATGCTGAAATCTTTCTGGGAGTATATCAACAGTTCTTTTCTATCAGGGAGTGGTTGGTGGGTCAGAGAAATAGTATTATTCTCATTTTATAAGTAAGGAAGGAGCAATTTAGAGAAATTATCCAAGGTCACACACATGGTGGTGAAGTCAGGTTTTGAATTATGGCATAGTGCCTAAGGCATTTGATTGCTAACCAGAAGGCTGGCAGTTCAAACTTACCTGCCACTCTTTGGAAGGAAGACTAGGCAATCTACTTCCATAGAGATATTGCTTCGGAAACCCAAGGAGGTGTTCCTATGAGTCGAATCGAATCAATGGCAGTGAGTTTGGTTTAGTTTGTTTTTTAATGGCTACTTCACACTAAAGTCAACTGCCTTCTTCCTATTATAACATGTGGACTGTTTGCTATACACTCTTAGTAATACTTTTGTACATCCTCAATAAATATTTGTTTAACTTAAGTAATGTTTTATTTATGTACAGAGATCATTCTTATAATAGAAATAGGCATAACAATAATGACAGTAGTTAACAATGAGGGCCCAGGCATTACATGATCAGGCACTGCTCTACGCAAATTCTACCTCATTTAAAGTTTGTACAAACTCATGAGGGAGAAGCTATTAAACATCCTTACTGTACAGATGAGAAACTGAGGCACAAGATTAAGCAACTTGCCAAAGATAATACTGCTAGTAAGTGGTGGAATAGAGATTTGAACTCGGGCTGTTTGACTCCATGCGCTAAACCATTAGGCTATCCTACCCTAATTATGTAGCCAAAATCATTCTACAACAGAGGAAAGTGAGAACAAGAAAAATGAAATAGCATGACTAAGGTCACTCAACTATGCACAAGCAGAGCTGACTCTATTGTTAGGTGCCTGAACTGGCCCCCAACTCAGCCCCTGACTCACAGTGACCCCATGTACAACAGAATGAAACACTGCTTGGTCCTACGCCACCCCCATGATCAGCTGCAGATCAGGCTGAAACTACGTATTCTAAGTGAGATAGATTTATCTTATCCTTTTCTCCTAAATAGCTCCAAGAAGTCTTCCATCTAGCATCGTGTTAATTCTTATCTAGCATTTTGGCAAAGAGCACCAGGGCTGTCTTCTTTACCACAGATCAGCAGAGCATTCAGCACACAATGAGTGTTTATTAATAAAGTGCTTATCAAACGATAATCACATAATGGAACAGCCAGAACTGGAAACCAAGGCCAAGTTTCACTTAATCACACTGCCTGCTTTTTTTTAAGACAAAAACAAATGCTATAAAATGAAAGTGATTCAAACCTGAACTTTCCTTGACCCGTGGATTATAGCCATACTTCTGGAAAAACTCCTGTATTTTCATGATATCCATTGAATTTCTTTTCATCAATACTTTGGTTGTCTTTATGAAATCAGTGTTTTCTTGACTTTCCAAGCTTGCTTTATGAAGGAGACTATCAACCTCACCCTTTTATGAGGAAAGAAAGTACATTATGATTTCTCTGTTGACTAAGTCTATTTATAGTAATAAAAACGACACACCACAGAAAAATGGTAAATTATTCTTAGATACCTTTAGAGTCCGGACTTCTGACTGCAGGTCATATAAAATCTTCATTGCATAATCTTCAAAGTCTTCAATATGTAAATATTGAATAAACATGAGAAAAAGAAAGGAAACAGGGCAGAAAATATAATTTGGTATACTTTCTTAGAATTGTAAAATCCTTATAGTTATGTATTTATAATCTCTATCTTATCCATTGCTAAGAAAAGTGGTAAGGCTTTTCTTTAAAAATGTAAGCTCTAATTGAACAACACAACATACCAACTACAACAAAGAAAAACCCAAAAAAACCCCAAACCCATTGCCTTCGAGTCAATTCCAACTCATAACAACCCCAACTGGGTTTCTAATCCTGTAAATCTTCACGGAAATAGATTGCCTCATCTTCCTTCTTTGGAATAGCTGGCGGGTTTGAACTGCTGACCTTCTACTTAGCAGCCAAATGCCTTACCTACTATGCCACCAGAGCTTTCAAACACACACAGAGAAACCTGGTGAACTTTGCAAATGAACATACCTGCACAGCCAACACTCAGATCCAGAAACTGAACGTTCCTAGAATGCCAAGCACTCTCTTGGAGCCTCTACTTTCCCCTTGAGAATAACTACTTCCCTGATTTCTAACACCATGAATTAGTTTTGCCCAGTTATTAACTTTCTTTAAGGGAATCATACAATGTGCACACTCTTCTGACTGGCTTCTTTCACTCAACATGATGTCTGTGACATTCATGCATGGTCATCCATAGTCTAACATGCTCATTCTCATTCCACTGTGTGATTATACCTAACTTACTTATCCAGTACTATTTCTGACAGACTTTAAATGGTGTCTAGTTCGGTACTACTATGAATACTTGAGCTTTGAACCTTCTTGTACATGTCCTTTAGGCCTATGTTCACATTTCTGTACATTAGAGATCTAGAAAATGTGCTAGATGAGGCCCATGCCCAGTGTTGGTCAATATTCCCAGTTTTCCAAAGTGATTGTTACCTTTATACTTCCACTGCAGGGTCCACATCACTGCCAATACCAGTATTTTCTTTTACTATCTGGGGGGTATTGCATTGGGATTTAATTTGCATTTCCCTGGTGACTAATAAAGTTACTGACTTTTCATATGCTTAACAGCCATCTGAAAATCCTTTCTTTTGAAGTGCCAATTTAAGACTTCTGTCATTTTTCTATTCGGTTATTTGCTTTTTTCTTGTTGGTTTGTGCGACTATAAATTCTAAGGAGCTCCGGTGGCAGTGTGCTTAAAGCATTGGGCTGCTAAGCAAAAGGTTGTTGGTTCAAACACACCAGCCACGGCACTGTGCTTCCATAAAGACTGACAGCCTTGGAAACCCTATGAGGCAGGCCTACTATAGTTCCTATAGGGTTGCAATGAGTTGGAATCGACTTGATGGCAGTAGGTTTTTTTGTTTTGTTTTGTTATAAATTCTGGATATAAATCTTTTGCCACATACCTGTATTACATACAATATCTTCTACCACTCTGGTTTGCCTTTTCATTCTCTTGTGTCTTTTGATAAACTAAATTCTTAATTTTAATGCAGTCCTATTTATCAATTTTTTTTTTTAATGTGAGCACTTTTGGGTTCCTAATTAAAAAGTATTTGCCAGAGAAACACTCTTACGTTTTCTTCTGAAAGCTTTACTGCTTTGCCTTTTGCATTTAGAGCTACAATTCATCTGGAACTGATTTTTCTGTAAGACATGAGATGTTGTTGTTGTTGTTAGGTGCCGTTGAGTCAGACCCAACTCATAGCGACCCCTCCTTGGGTTTCCGAGGCAGTATCACTATGCAACTGACCTGGCTCTATTTAAGGAACTCTGGTGGTGTAGTGGGTAAGACATCTGGCTGCTAAACAGAAGGTCAGTGGTTCAAACCTACCAGCTGCCCTGCAGAAGGAAGATGAGACAATCTCCTTCCATAAAGATTTACAGCCTTCATATGAGCTGAACATTTATATTAGGTAGATACACTCCTTGAAGAGATCAATCATGGGAGAATAGAAGGGCTGTGTATATGCACAGGGAGACAGCTCAGAAGGCAGGAGTGCGTGGGAGGGAAGGACACAGGGAAAAGGTAACTATGGGGATGAAGTGGGAAGAGAGCTATTACACTGTGGGAAATTGGCTGTAATTTCCAGCCAATGTCATGAGACAAAGTAGATAGATGTGAACTGCCGAATGGAAAATGAACTTGCTCTGTAAACTTTCACCCAAATCACAATAAAAGTTCTTAAAAAAAAATAAAAAAGATTTACAGCCAAAGAAACCCAATGGTGGTTGCTATGAGTCAGAATCGATCTGATGTCAGTGGATGGGTGGGTGGCTCTATTTACTGAAAAGATAACCTTTATGCACTGCACTGTCTCCTAGATCATTGATCAGCTCGTCAAATATATAATGTTTTCTAACACCCGGTTCTTTTGAAGACCTCCTTCTCCTTCCACCTCTGAAAATTCAACTAATTTCTATTAGAGAAATACAAATCAAAACCACAATAAGACCACTTCACACCCACTAGGATGGCTTGTTAGACAGACAATGACAAACAAGCTCTGGTAAGGAAGTAAAGGAACTGGAATCTTTATTCATTGCAAGTAGAAACACAAAACAGTGCAGCCAATTTGGAAAAACATTTAGCAGTTCTCAAAAAAATTACACATAAGTTAACATATGACCCAGCAATTCCACTTCTAGTATATAATATACTCATGAAAACTGAAAAACATGTTCTCTCAAAACTTGTACACAAATGTTCATAGCAGCGTTATATGTAATAGCTAAAAGGTTAAAAAGTACCCAAATGTCCATCAATATATAAAAAAATAAATAAATATGGTATATCCATTAAAACAGAATATTATGCAGCAATAAAAAGTAATGATAACCAACAAGGATAAACAAATTGCCTACACACACGAGAAGATGCTCAATGATAATAGCTGATTTTAATCAAGTGATTAATTTGCATCTAACTAGGGAGATGCAAAACAAACTCTGGCGACGCATTGCCTAAGGCATTTGACTGCCAACCAAAAGGTTGGTGGTTCAAACCCACCAGTTGCTCTGCAGAAGGAAGACGAGACATTTCCGTAAAGATTCATTGCCTTGGAAACACAACAGGGGTCGCTATGAGTTGGAATCGACTCGATGGCAGTGAGTTTGGTTTTGGTGTTTGAGGGAGAGATGCAAATTAAAACCACAATGAGACACCACTTTACCCCCACAAGACTGGCTATTTAAAAAATAAATAAATAAATAAGGAAAATAGGTCTCGTTGAGGATGTGGAGAAATCAGAACCCTCATCCATTGCTGGTGGGAATGCAACATGGTGTACCAGTGTGCTGATTGAACTTGCTGTCCCCTGTGACCATGGTCCTGAGCTCACAGGTCCAACTATTCGCTCCATCAGGGTGGCTGGCTGTGGCCAAGAAGTCACCACAACCTTGTCCCTTGTCAGCTCTACTATATACACAGACATTCTTACAGCACATAGAAATTACACTTGTAGAAGAGAAAGACATAGAGAGGTACATGGGAAGTACAGACAACAAATATGAACCCTTTTGCACATACAGTACTGCGTTGTCAGTGAAGGCAAACATGGGTATACGGGTGGATAGATGGGTGGACAGATGGGTGGACAGGCTAAACTACTAGGTATGTCTATGAAGCAAGGACTGTACCCAAGAACATGTATAGGGTTGGCAGACAACAGTCCTATAAGTTTATGTGTATGATCTGAATTCCCAGGTGTATACTAGAGCTGACAAGAGACAAGGTGGTAGTCACTGCTTGGTCACAGCCAGCTACCCAGAGGAACTGAGTAGTTGAACCTGTGGGCTCGGGACCATGGTCGCAGGGGACATCAAGTTCAATTGGCATAACATACTACACAAAACATTGTTCCACCTCCTACTTTGGCAAGTAGCCACTGGGATCTTAAAAGCTGGCAAGCTGCCATCTAGATGCAATGATGGGTCTCTTCTCGTCCAGAGCAAAGAAGAAATGAAGAAAACCAAAAATTCATGGATACAATCAGTCCTAGTGACTGATACACCATCCAATCTGCAGCCTATACCACTATGAGACCAGAAGAACTAGATGGTGCCCGGCTACCAATGTCAACCACTTGGAAGGGGATCTATGTAGGAGATCCTGGATAGAGAGGGAGAACAATGTGGACAAAACTCAAAATCATTTGGAGGCAAAAAAAAAAAAAAAAAAGAAGGGGGGGACCAGGTTTGCTGGTCCAACAGAGCCTGGGGGAACCACTGAGACTATGGCCCCTAGCTGCCCATCAGGTTTGGAATTGAACCCACACCTGTGGCTTCCAGCCACACAAAAGACAGGCATATGAGTTGAACATTTACCTGAGGTAGATACACTCCTTGGAGAGAAAAACTAGGGGAGAAAGAAGGGCTGTTTATGCACCAGGAGACAGCTCAGGGGGCAGGAGGGCATGGAAGGATGGACACAGGGAAGAGGTAATTATTGGGAGAAAGTGGGAGGGGAGCTGTTGCTTTGTGGTAAATTATGGTCAATGTCATGAGACAAAGTGTATGTGAACTGCTGTTTGTAAAGTGAATTTGCTCTGTAAATCACCCAAATTACGATATAAATAAATAAATAAATAATTTTTTTAAAAAAAAAGAAAGAAATTACCCTTGTAAAAACACTGTCTGCCAACCCTATACATGGTCATAGGCACATACTCCCTGCCTAGACATATCTAATCATTCAGGCTGTTCACCCATTTATCCAGCTGTAGTTCAATGCTTGCCATCACTGACAATGCAGTACATGCAAAAGGGTTCATCTTTGTTGTTTGTATCTCCTATGTACCTCTCCATGTCTTCTTCTTACTCAATGCCACCATGTTGATCACTCACTTTTGGTACATTACCCTTCTCAATGCTGATTTTTCAGTAGATCACCAGGTCTTTTTTCCAAGGCACTTCGGGTAGACGCAAACCTCCAACCTTTCGGTTTATAGCTGATTACATTAACCCTATGCTCCACCGTGGACTCCAAAATATCAAATTGTGGTGTCTTTTGATTGAGGAGGGAGAGGGTTACAGAGAATATTAATTTTCTTTTTTCTACTTTTCCATATCTCAAATGTCCTACATTCACATATACTGGATATATTTTTAAATAGGCTTCCCCCTTCCCCCAAAAAAAATGGTTTGAGATTTATAGAAAAATTGAAAAGATAATACAGAGAGTTGGGAAACCTCTCTTCCTTTTTTCTGGGTTAAATAACATGTTTCTTTCTAGCAGTTTCATTTTTGTTTTTATGTTACTGTGTAAAGCACTATGTCCAAAACTCTTGCCATTTTAACGACTTTAAGTGTACAATTCAATGACACTGATTACATTCACCATGTTGTACACCAATCCACTATTTTCAAAACTTTATCACCCCAACTTGAAATTCTGTACCCCTTAAGCAATGCCTCCCTATTATTCCCTCTCCCTATATATACTGCTTTTACAATCACAAAAATAAACATTTGTACATGGCTCTAAACCAAAAAGTCAAACTCACCGCCATGGAGTTGATTCCGACTCATAGCCACCCCTATTGGGTTTCCAGGGTTGTAGATCTTTACGGAAGCAGACTGCCTCATCTTTCTGCCTCAACTTTTCTTCCACAGAGCTGCTGGTGGGTTTGAACCACCAACCTTTTGGTTTGAAGCCAAATGCCTTAACCACTACACCACCAACTCCAAAACCCAAACTCACTACCATCAAGTCAATTCCAACTCATAGTGGTCCCCACTGGGTTTCCAAGGTTGTAAATCTTTACGGAAGCAAACTCCCTCATCTTTCTTCTGCAGACCGGCTGATGGGTTCGAACCACTGACTTTTTGGTTAGTGGCCAAATGCCTTAGCCACTACACCCCCAGAGCTCCTTTTTGGTAGCATAGTGCCTAAGGCACTTGACTGCTAACCAGAAGGCTGGCGATTCAAACCCACCAGCCACTCCTCGGAAGGAAGGTTGGGCAATCCTACTTCTGTAGTGATACTGCCTCGGAAACCCAAGGAGGGGTCGCTATGAGTTGGGGCCGACTCAAGGGCACATAACAACAACAACAACAGATAACTAATACAATTGTAGTAAAATGAGTCTGTCTACAGGATGCAATATTATGAGGAACATTACAACTATGACGTGTGCAAGACACTCAAAAGCTAAACTACTATTGCCAACAACTTTTAAAAAATCTCTGATACAAAGATTAGTGACAGGGAACTTTATAAAGAAAAAATATTGTTTGGGTAAGCATTATAGTTTATTGGCAAAAATGCAGAAGTTTACTGCAACCATGGACCATTTGGGTGAGCCACAAACCATTATACATGTAAAGACCAATGCTAAACAGCTGCATTTAAAAAGAAATTGCTTGATTTTGTTTACACTATTTTTATTGAAAAGTACACAACATCATATTGTGACTTGGTAGCATATTGTAGTTGTTGTGTGCCGTTCAGTCGATTCCGACCCATACGGAGCCTATATGACAGACTAGAACTGCCCCATAGAGTTCCCTAGGCTGTATTCTTTAAGGGAGCAGATCGCCAAGTCCTTCTCCCGCCTTGAAAACGTTGTTGTTGTTGTTGTTGTTAGGTGCCATCGAAAGTCCTGAAAGCATATCATGTATAAATTAGTGTATGCTCTGATAGCATAGTGCCTAAGGCATCTGATTGGTAACCAGATGGCTGGGGTTCAAATCCACCAGCCACTCCGCGGAATAAAGACTAGAGCAATCGACATCCGTAAAAATACCGCCCGGGAAATCCAAGGAGGGGTCGCTATGAGTCGGAATTGACTGGACGGCAATGAGTTTGGGTTTTTTTGTGTTTTTTATTATGAACTCAATCTGTCAATTTAATTTAGACTATTCAAAAGTAGCCGCTGCTTCTCTTCGTAACATAATAATGGTGCTACTTTCATTATTTAAGGAGAAAATTTTGGCTGTACAAATAAGAACAATAACAAGGTGGCACTTGAAGCCCTTGGGAACTGTTAGCGACAAACATTAACTGAGCATTTTGATACGTGCACCCACCCCGCCTCTAAGCCGTATCTCTTTCGAAGCACTTCTCACTACTGTAAATACAAAATCACTTCTGTAGTATTTGCTTGATTCCTTTCTGACCCGCCCGACTTTCGGCACGAAGACGCCCTCGGTCCCACAACGGGCTGCCTCACTCACCGCTCTCCTCTCCGTCCAGCGCCCGCTGCAGCCGAGCCGTCTCGCTATCCAGGGTGATGGCCAGAGACCGTAATTTTCCACAGAAGCTCCGGATAACCTCCATTGGTGAGGACTGAGCGAAGCCGCGCAAAAGCAAGAATCCAGCCGAGAAACTTGTTCCCTCACGCCCACTGCCCGCCACTAATTTGAATCCCACGTCTTCGGAAACCTCCAAGAAGACGCGCAAATCCTCTCTCGCGAGAACTGGAATCTCGCGCGAAATGACCAGGGGGCCTCGAGAGGCGGGCGTGCTGCTGTGTCCATTAGCTTCCGGTAGGAAGCTAGACGCTTGCACAGCGAGCTGGTGGTGAGTAGGTTGGCTGCTTGTGGCTACTTTGGGAGTCTTTGTGTTCGTCTGTCGACATTAGTTGGTTCCCCATTTCCTTTGGAGCCGCAGTGCGCGTTCTCGGGACGGGAATGGCGTGTGAGCCCGGTTCGCGCGCTGGGCCTTTCTGCCCTCTAGTCCCCGCGGGCCGTCAGTTTTGATTTCCATGTTTTGATCTCTCTCCCCAGCGGGCACCATGTTCCTGACCGCCTTCCTATGCCGCAATCGCATTCCTGGAAGACAGTGGATCGGGAAGCATCGGCGGCCGCGGGCCGTGTCTTTCCGTGCGAAGCAGAACATGATCCGTCGTCTGGAGATCGAGGCGGAGAACCATTACTGGCTGAGCATGCCTTACCTCACCGCCGAGCAAGAGCGCGGCCACGCTGCTGTCCGCAGGGCGGCGGCCTTCGAAGCCATCAAGGCAGCCAGCACTTCCAAGTTTCCCCCGCATAGATTTGTTGCAGATCAGCTCAACCATCTCAATGTCACCAAGAAATGGTCCTAATCCAGAGTTTCCACCCTTCAGTTTTATAGATCACAAGGCTCCTGTCGCTTCACCTGATCCTGGAAATGAAAAGCCACTAGAATACTGTGAGCCGTTGAACCAGAGCCTTGTTTTTGTAAAAACATGAGCGTATTTGTCTGCGTGACTGTGGCATTGTTTTCATGCTGCTTCAGTCTAATAGGGAAATACCAAGCATTTCCTAGGTTTTAGATGACTTAAAAGAGCTTGGACGAAAGATACAATAAATCTGAATGTTTTATGGTTTGGGCTCCATACTTAAGGATGAGATACTTAATGAGGGGCTTGATCATGAAATGTTAGTGTGCTTACCTCTGTCAGAGTAGCTCTTGTGGTGTAGTGGCAGCTAACCAAAAGGTTGGTGGTTTGAACCACCAGCAGCCCCTAAAGAAAGATTATGGGGTCTGCTTCTGTAAAGATGTACAGCCTTGGAGACCCCATGTGGGACTGCTATGAGTAGGAAGCAAGTGGATGGCAATGAGTTTGGTTTGGTTTTTTGGTACCTTCTGTCAAGATTATTTGCCTAAATTGTTCATGGAAACAGCCACACTTTATCTTCCTCCTCCTTGACTCTCCTTTTGTGCTTCAGGTGAAGAGAGACCAGTTGTGGCTGATTGTAGATTTTTAAGCCCTCAGGCACTAGGCAGAGAGCTAGGAGGTAGAACAGAAGCACAAAATATTTTATTAGTAGGCCGGTTAGCTGGAATTTCCCATGGAACCATGACCCTAAACCTCCAAACTGAGGCACCAAATCCTGTGAGTATTGTACATAAGCAACCACAGCAGCTCCTTTTTTTGTTGATGTATCAACAACTTTTCCCAATTCAGAGGAGCTCTGGTGGCACAGTAAGTGAGGCATTTGGCTGGTGACCAGAAGGTCAGTTCAAACTCACCAACTGCTCCATAGGAGGAAGATGAGGCAATCTACTTCATAAAGATTTACAGCCTTGGAAACCCTATGAGGGTCACTATGAGTCAGAATCAACTCCATGGTAATGAGTTTGGGTTTTTGTTTCCTAATTCAGCTGTTTACAGGTGTACAGTTTCTTTTTGTGTTTTTTAGATTTGTAGGGAAGTTTTGTTTTGTTTTGTTTTTGTGCTTGAGGTGCAAATTTTCAGAGCAGAATTCATTTTACATTCAATAGTGCACGTACATTTGCTTTCACACCCCAATTACCATCCCCAACCCGAACCCACCCTCCTCCTCTCCCTTCCCTGTGACCCCCTTCTCCCTGTGCCTTTCTTAACTATGCACTCCTTTCTGTCTTCCTTTCCCTCCATGTGAAGGCTGCCCCTCTGGTGCCCCATGGCCAACTGTGCCAAGGGGTGTATCTTCATAGAGTAGGTGGGTGTATTGCCCTGGATTGGGTGTTCTGCATGTAAGGTCTTCATACTCTTGGGCTGAGAGCCAGACCCTGGGAGTGAGTCCTATCCCAGGCTGTACAATTTCTTGACAGCAATTATAAGAATCAGCTGTGCAACCTTAATGAGCTTTTTCCATCACTGTTTTCCCCTCCTAAAGTAGCATTTTTTGGGGGGGAGGGGGTTGGGATTTGACTACTAGAAGTGAACATTGAAGTGAAGTGAAAGGTATTTCTCAGAAATCTTGTATCTATGGGAGTTCTGGTAGCATAGTGGCTAAGGCACTTACTTGACTGCTAACCAGAAGGCTGGTGGTTCAAACCCACCAGCCACTCCTCGGGAGGAAGATGGGGCAATCTACTTCCATAGTGATACTGCCTCAGAAACCCAAGGAGGGGTCACTATGAGTCGTGTCTGACTTGATGGCACATAACAACAACAACATTTTTTTAAAACTGCTTTATTGAGATTTAATTCCCATACAATTCACTACTTAAGGTATTTGATAAAATAAGTTTTTTCTGAATATGTGAAAAATAGTTAACACATGGTTTACCAAATACAGCAACCCTTTGAATTTGGGACCTTTCTGATTTTATTCTTCAGGTAACATAAAGGAAATTGACAGTCCTGCCAGGAAGAGGAGGGACTTGAGTTTAACCAGATACTTCGTTAATCCCTATACAATGTTTTATAGGGATTAATGAAGTATCTGCTTAAACTCCCAAGTCCCTCCTCTTCCTGGCAGAATGACTGCTGTGTCTTGGGAGCTCTTTTAGCATAGTGCGTAAGGCATTTGACTCCTAAGACAAGACTGGCAGTTCAAACCCACCAGCCACTCCTCGGAAGGAAGAGTGGGTAATCTCCTATAGAGATGCAACCTCAGAAACCCAAGGAGTGGTCACTATGAGTCGGGATCGACTCAACAGCAGTGCATTTATACTGTGTCTTAGTTAGCTAGTGCTGCTGTAGCAGAATACAAATGGGCAGCTTTAACATACAGATTTATTCTGTCGCAGTTTAGGAGGCTAGAAGTCCAAATTCAGGGCATCAGCTCTGGGGTAAGGCTTTCCTTCTCTGTTTAGTTTGTGAGAAGGTCCTTGTCTCCTTTCAGCATCTGTGGACCAGTGTTCTATGGAGATCTCCATGTGTCTTGGCATCAGTCTTCCCCTGGGTCTAGGAGGTTCTCAGCACAGAGGCCTGGTTCCAAAGGATGTGCTCCACTCCTGGCTCTGTCTTGGTGGTATTGAGGAGGGTCTCCTCTCCTTGGATCTCTTGTAAGATAAAAGGTGATGTAGGCCACACCCCAGGGAAGCTCCATTTATATCTGGTCTGATTAAAGGTGACCTGATAAGGGTGTTGCATCCTACACTAATCACCTTACAACATCAGCAGATCCCATGGGGTATGATTACATCATTACATAACTGCCAAATTACATCATTACAAAACTGTCAAAACCATTGAGAATCATGGCCAAGCCAAGTTAACACATTGTTTGGAAACAAAGTTTAATCCATGAAGTGTGTTTAGTAGAAAATACGGGAAATGATGTAGAACAACAACAACAAAAAAAATTCAATTCCATTACCCAGAAATAATGAAAGAATCTTAATTCATATATTTTCTTTTAGTCGTCTTATACATAAAGTTTTTGAAAACATACTGAGATTTTATGGCTAAGTAGATGTGTCCTACTAGTCTGCAGCAGTGGGTCAACCAGCAATGATGTCTCAAGGCACCTAGCAATAAGTAGGCAGCCAAAAGCTATAGCATCTAACAATCCTGGTGCATATTAATCAGATGGCTTTCCAGAAAGGTTATACAAACTCCAGGACTAATGTGTGAGTGTACTGAATATTCTTTCTCATTCACAAAGAATACTGTTTAATTCATACATGGTTTACATTTTATGATCTGTAAAACCAAAAACCCACTGCCATCGAGTCGATTCTGACTCATAGTGACCCCTCTGGGTTTCCAAAGCAGTAAATCTTTTTTTTTTTTTTTTAATGTCATTTGGGTGAAGATTTACAGAGCAAATTCACTTTCCATACAGCAGTTCACATATACTTTGTCTCATGTCATTGACCACAGTTTAC